AAAAAAAAAAAAAAAAAAAAAAAAAGACGACTTCTACAACAATTGGACTATTGGAGCTCTAGTAGCTGGCTGGAACAATATGTTAACTGTTGAGATGAGTGACTGGTTTATGTGTGATAAACAAACCAAGAGTTGCTTTTTGGGTGGAAATACCTATAACTAGTGGAATTAAATGTGTACGAGCCAATACATCATACAGTTAACAAAATGCACTACCTAGGTTTCAATTCAATTAAGCATTCTATTAATTTTTGTTTTTATCTTAGGCAGATTAGTTCTCAAAGTCCCAGATTTAGGGCCGGGGATATAGCTCAATAGAATAAGTGCTTGCCTGGCAAGCACTAGGTCCTGAATTCAATCCCTAGTACGGCAAAAATAAAAAAAAAACTGAAGTCCCAGATTCAATTCAAGATCTGTGATGACAGATAATTCCTATTTCATGGCACTGGAATATGCTGGGAAGACATTCCAGAGAAAGCCAAAGGCTCATCCAAGTGCTTGACAGTGCTGATTGGCACTGCCACTACTGCCATGAAGACAATAAATAACTGAAAAATTAACCATAGAATTTTACAAAGGAATCAATAGTGGTAACTGGGGGAAAATGCTTTTCCTTAATTCAGAGAAACTAGTAACTGAAACTCTTTTAGTGCTCTGAAGACCAAAGAAAAACCCCAGACGCAACACTGCGCCCAGTTTGGAGAAATGTGTGTGGGCTCTGAAAGTGAAAACACAACAACACCGTTGAGGCGTCCCTCTGCAAGACACACTGACGACAATGACAAAGTGGAGAGAGAGGAATCTCCTTACCTGCATGTGGGGACTGTCCTTTTCCTTGGGAGAGAAGAAGCGTCCACCTTCACCTCGCTTCCGGGCCATGGCATGACGGTGCCGGGACTCGTGCAGGTATTTCTGAAAATAAAGAAATACAGTCACTCAGAAACTAGCTAGAACCAAGCATCAGCCAGTGTAAGAATTTCATTTGTAGATGTGGGAGACGGCTGTGACCCAAGCTGCAGGGATGAAGAAGACTGAATTACCGAAAAAGCACTGACCTGGTCAGTGCATCAGACAGCAGCTAGCAGACAGCAGCTAGTCACACATAGCCACTATCAGATTGGGAATGTGAGCTAAAAGGTGTGGCATTATCTCCCAGTGTCTGCTCTTTTCTTCTGCTCAACAGCCCAGTCTGGGTTAGATACACTGTTGTCCTGTCACAAGTCTGCATTTCCTACCCTAATCTTAAGGTAGGCAGGGACAGTAAGATCTGTGCCACCATGGGG